TGATCTTAGCATCCGGTACATAATTGTTCACTCGATTTTTTGTAAGTTTCGGTTTGTTCAAGCGAGATGTTACATTTGCACACCGTATTTGTTAACATTTATATTGATTATTTAGTTAAAAAAAACACTAAAAGGCTCACTGGGAGTAAATTGGTCATTTTAACCAGTTATGTTCAGTCTTGTCATGTTTTATCAAACGCTGAACAGCTGTCATGTTCTGTTCTATCATGTTCTGTCATATTCTATCATATCTTGTCTACGTACCAAACACACCATAACGATACTCTAATTAATGGCGTTATTAGAAGAGACTATATTCAATAAGAAAATGAATTCATAATGATATTTCTTGGGTTAAAAAAAAATTCAAAACCCTTTATTCATTAATTTATTTAAAATATAAGGACCCAACTTGCATTTAACTCAAATAAAAAAGTTGATTGGTTTTTCTTTCAAAAACTTTTATTAATAAATTCAACGTAAGATTTGTTGTGTGTTGGGTTATACAGTAGCATTGGGCACGGTCCATAATAGGGGGTCAATGACCTAAATTATACAAGCAATCACATTTCCTACCTTCTGGGTGGCCACTGGATTTTTATTCAACAATTTTGACCATATTTGCTCCTATTGTCCGCCATGAACCAGACATTGATTGATGCTACAACCACCATCTTTATGCACAACATCATCACTACAAGGTACATTTCCAATTTTTAATTGTTATCTTCATCATTTGCTTTTGCCGATTAATCCCTAGAATATGTCTTGTCTCTGTGTTTTTTATATGGTTTTGCCTTTCGTGGAAGTTGATCCTGAATTTTGCTTCCTTTCAGCCATAGATTTTTATTGGTTCACGATTGTTCAGTAAACGCTTCCAACTAAGTTCTTAATTTGTCAATTTTATGGTTTAGGGTTTAGTATTGAATGCCTTGAATTGTTATGATCAAGTTTATATTAACCAAAAATGTGTACATTAAGAACTGTTGATGGGGTGAAGAGTTTTTGAATGAAGAGGTAGCTTAACTTCGAATTGAAGTAGGATTGGAAAGGAAAATCAAATTGAAGTGAAAATGCTTCAAAAATGGAAAGGTAGTACAGAGAAATGCCAACTACTTGGAAATATGAAGGCTTCAATATGTGTTTGCTTGATGAATAAATGTAACAGGTATTGCTCCCATTATTGCAACTATCACAGTGGTCTATCATATCTTTCATCTTTGCGAGGGTTGACTTGCATCATTGGTTTACCACTTGGATGTCCTAATGGTTTTAATGGAGTTCTTTAACCTTGTCAGCATCATCAATATCCCCTTGGTAATTGAGTTCATCCCAACTAACTCGAATATTATACTTAGGGGTGTGAGTGATTCTCTTCAAACTAACAAACAAGACCAAACCCAGTTAGTTCTAAACACGAAATGGCAACATTTTGTTTGATTACTGAATACTGATTCTTATATTTTGAAAATTCGCTTTTCGGTTCATCCTATCTTACACCTGGTTGAAACTGACCACAAATGCAAATTGAAACTGATTTTATTTGTTTGGTTTGGGGAAGGAGTTGATTCCTATTTATCACCTCCTTCACCTGACAACTTGGTTGACTTAGGCACTCTGCATTTTCGTGGCATCTTGATTTGTTAATCGAATATGGCAACTTTGAGAAGAAATGGGGATGGAATTTGATCTTAGAGTGAAGCCAAACTTGTCTAAGGCTATATGACAATTGATGAGTGACAACACAGTTGCTATTTTTATTTTTCTCAGGGTAATTACTCGATCAGCAGTTGGTATTGTAGGCTATAGGTTGAAACTTGGGGCTTCAGACCCAACAGTATTGGTATTATGATAGTTGGTCTGGTTGCATCTGTACTGAGACAGCCTTGTGGGTTATGAAAAATACGCATCATCCTCTACAGTATTGGTGATCAACCTAACATATCTTAGAAGAGCATTTTTGATCAATTATATGGAGATTGAATTGTCATACCCATTTGTTCAGTTATCATGTGTACCATGTCTTGCCAAATCGTGAAAACACATCAAAGGAGTTCCCATCACCAATAGGTGCCTCATGGTCAACCCATCCGTAGTTAGGGTAAATCAGACATCTTAAACTATGAGTTTTATCGGTTTGCTATTTAGAGATTCTATCTAAAAAACTTCGAGTTCTTACTGAGACACCTCTTACAAGCTAGGACCGAAACCCCGCACCTTGTGCCTCACCTCAAGACATCTCGCCATCGCTTGTTAGCAAATGACCTCATTACCCTTTGAAAAGGTAAACACACATGTACTTATCTTGTCACTTCTTTCGTGTCTTATCATGTTCATCATCCTCCTATTAAGGATTTCATGTTTGCTTTTGATTTTGTTGTTTTCACTTCTGTAGCTAAAGTACTGGTTCATGAAAGTTGGGAAGCTGCAATGAATGAAGAAATGATGGCCTTAGAACAAAAGCATTCTTGGGGTCTTTCTTCCTTAGTAAAAGTAAGTTATTGGTTGTAAGGGCATCTCCAACAGCTTTTCTATAATTTTTTTTAAATAGAGAACCAAAACGTAAATTTTCTAAAAGGAATTACATTTATCTCCAACGGATTCTCTATTTTAGAGATTTTAACAAAAATCATATTATTAGAATATTCTTTAATTTATGATCATAGTATACTTTTAAAAAGAACTTCTTTTAGAAAATAATAACTCAATCTCATTGGAGGAATTGAATAAAATAATAATTCCTCTCTCCCACCATCAGGTTTTAGAGAATTCTTTATACTTAGAGTATTCTCTATGATTCTCTATTTTAGAGAATAAGATAACAAAGTTGTTTAGAGAACAAAAATTTACTTTTTTTTATTTTAGAGAAGTTGTTGGAGATGCTCTAAGTAGTTCATTGATAAGATGAATCCCGATGGCTTTGTTGCACGATTGAGAACATGTATGGTTGCTAAAGGATGCTTAGGCATATAGGGTGGATTATTTTGAGAGTTTTTCTCTTGTTGAAAACCTTTTTTCTACCCGCCTACGTTTCATTGGCTTGCACTACAACCGGGTACTTCACCATCTTCATGTAAGGATTGCATTTTCTTTTCCATGTTTAGGGATTTACATGAAGAGGTTTACATGGAATAAATGAATGGAAAGGCCCAAAGCCAATCCCAGGGAACAATGAAGCTTCATAGGGTCTTTCCTATTCTCTTAATATAATAGGCGGCAAAGCGGAATAGAAAAGCACGGACGAGCCACATGCAGGGAAACTTGCAAGAGGTCAACGCTTACATGAATTGCTTAAACAATCCCAATCCGCCCCTCTCGCGGTGGAAGAACAGATACTGACTATTTATACCGGAACAAACGGTTAGTATGCCCTTAATCTACTTTCTCGGGTATCTAGCTTACGGAAGACAAGGGCAGTTTAGTCAACAATCATGACCATGGGAACATTTGTTCGCTTTATAGGTACCCCCGAATCTACTAGTCGCATAATTAGACTGAATGAAAGTTAGAATCACTGACAAAGTACTTTCCAACACATGGAAACCAAGTATCATTTCCCTTGGGAAAAGCTAGAGGATGGAACAATCACGACTCCACATGTTAGAATAGGGAGTCAATTAGCCGACGTGTACACAAACTGTAATCACTACCAGTTTTATTTCTCAAAATGATTTACATATATTTATATTGGTTTGAGAGAATAAGATCTCTATTATTTTATAATCTAAAGGGATATTATTTCTATTTCTTATTAATTCCATTAAACTCCCTCTCAAGTTGGAGCATAGATATTGATCTTGTCCAACTCGTTAATGTAGTCAATATGGATCCCATTCACTGCTTTTGTCAAAATGTTTCCTAATTGGCCTTTTGTAGGAACATGTCTTGTTGTAATCAAGGTTCAAAAAGGCGTGAGCCGTGGCGTGACGGCGAGATCAAGCCTTACACGCCACGGCGAGGACGCGGTGTTTTTCAAGGCATGACATAAAGCGACAAATTTGTATGTCATATATAAAATTATATATATAGATATATGTTTTCTATATATTATCTAATTAGATAATGATATTAAAAAGATGTACGCTCATATTAGAAGAAGAAAAATCTTATAGAAATAATAAAAATAGGTTTTTGATTAAATATTTAAAATAGAACTTAGAAAGGTATTTTACAACTTCATTTTAATCGTGAGTCTGTAAGGTTTATGAATTTGTGAAACTGTAAGTGATGTGATTAGTAACATCTATAAAAATGTAAATCTAAAATTAAAAGTTTAAAAACGCAGAAGATAAAAAAATAAAAAAAAATATTTTTTTTTGGAAAAAAATCGCGTGATACAAAAAACGCGTGCTGCAGCGAGCCATGGGACGCCTCAAGACGGCATGGCATGAGCCACACCTTACAGAAACGCTATGGGTCATTTCGTAACGGTTGAGACACGTCTTGTGCCATATCTCCATGGCGCGCCTTTTTGAACACAGGTTGTAATGAATTCTTCTTCAATCTTGTCTCAAATGAAATGACAATCGATTTCTATATGCTTCGTTCATTTGTGAAGAACATGATTTTTGAGCAATATGAAGGGTTGTCTGGTTATCACACTAAAGCTTTGCCGGAAGTGCAACACATAGACAATTTTCTTAATTAACTGATGTATCCATCTTATCTCACATACCATTGTCATGTATTCAGTCATGGAGCGAGATACCACATTCTGTTTCTTACTCCATGAAACCAAATGTCCCCCTACAAAGAAATAGTATCCTTTGGTAGTTCTTGATACGAGGTGTCAAACAATATTCGTTAGGTGAGGTGACGTTTAATTTTCGTCATTTATTGATCACAGTTCATAAAAATATTCCGATAAAAGATAAGTTATGAAATTGGGGAATAGATGTGAGAGAGATGTGTCGAAGATGCACTTGTTGTATCGATCTAGTTGCCTGCATGCTCTCGCAATATTTGCTTCTTATTTGTTCTTTTCCGAAATTGGGCGCCCTTTAAAGATCTACATTCCAAACAACTACATCTCCTTCTCCGCAGGAGTCGTGAACAAATTTCATTCTTTCCACCGACTTGCATATTCCACTGCACGACCAATCGAATGCAGCCACACAAACATTTCCTCCGTGTGTCTTCCACTCGCAATCTGTATCACACGTCCATTGACCAACAGTTAGTCGGTCATCTATGTGGAACCCCATTAGATTACTCTTCAAAAGAGCTATACATTTTTGTGCATATTTATTTGTGTGCTCAAAAGATCTGTGTTAATTAACCTGGAGGAGTTCCACAACACATGGAACGATCATCTATGTGTTGAACATCCAAGCCAATCAACCATGAGCCTAAAGAGACGTCCTCGTTGGCGTACCTATGCAATATCCCACTGGAGAAACAACCTTTATTCGACAAATTAAGCCAAGGAATTAAGCTCGTTTATGTTTACGACTTACGAGTTGCTTGAAATATATGCTGCTAAATCCTTGGATATGGCATATATTTGTCCAGTTGCATGCCTGAAGTACTTGTTCCCTTCTTCCCCAAATTTCCAATACTCCGGCTCATGATATCTTACCCCTCTGCTCAATTCAGTTTCCAATAAACATTTAGCAAGCATTCTTCTGCTCAGGAATGGCACTAAGTTTTTTACATGACAATACTACAACATAATATGTTTAAATGTCTTAATAGACCGCTTTATAAAACTGTTTATGAAGACATTAAGACATATTTGGTGCCAATTTTGTTGTACTTTGGACTTGGCATGCGAAAATTGATAAAAGAATAAGAATACACAAACGACGAGAAGAAATTAACCGACTTTTGAAAGAGCACGGGGCCAGACTTCATGCATCCTATATAGGTTCTTGGTTTAGATCTGTAGCGTGCAAGTGCCGTCACGAGCATGCCCAAGTTGACATGAACATCATCGTCCACCTTGACATAGAACTCTGCATCCCAAATGGAGACTGCTGTCGAGAAATACACCCTTGTCTTGGTGGAAAGCTCGTGGTAGCCCTCTACGTGATTTAACCGAAGGAAGTCCTGATACTTTTCCTCTTCAGCATCAATGGCTCGATCAAGAACTCCTCCTGGTGTTGCACTATGTCCTATCACAAACCTTACTATGATGCCCTTTTCCTTTGCCAATTTATTGAGTTTTGCTCCTGCATATATATATATATATGGAAAGGAGGTTAGAAAATTTACTAGGAAACGCCAAAGGGTCTTTGGCCCAATGGTATTCACAAGCATTAACAAGTGGGTGTGTGAGTATTTGCTCTATACTTCAAAAGAAATTTAGTAGAAAAACTAGAGATACTTCTAAAGAAATTTAGTCGAACCAGTGGGCATCCATGTTTCACGAACAGAGTCTCTACGTTTCTTGCTGCTAAAAGCTGTATTAATACCAATGACAACAAATGCTTTCTGTAGTGATGATGTCTTATTAGATGACGGAAATTTGGCCCTGGTTAGACTTGTACGAGCCGCTTCTAGTTCCATCTCCAATGTCGATATTGTTTTGTCTAATGACCTATATATAAAATGCACAAAAGATGAACCTGTGTAACATTCTAAGCTTGTAAAAGTCACTGTTTTAAATATAGGCTCACCGGATGGCTTGATGAGTCTTCTCTACTTCTCCCATGATGTCCCCTGAACTCTGTTCGACCAATTTCTAGTAGAAAGAAACCATGAACCAACTTAGGATATATATATATATATATATATATATATAAATATATATATATATATATATATATAAATATATATATATATATATAAATATATATATATATATATATATATAAATATATATATATATAAATAAATATATATATATATATATATATATAAATATATATATAGGGGAACGGAACCTAAAATTGATTAGAAACCAGGAACCCCCAAGAGCATGACTTATGACATATTCATAAGGAATGTTGACGTGTTATTCATCATGAATGTTGTAACATATCCATCGTTAATGTGTGACTCATAATAAATAACACATCCATATTCAATGTGAGTGTGCGATTCATAATGAATAACACTTCCATATTCATCATGAATGTGTTATTCATGATGAACATTCATCTTGAAAAGTGGCACATGGGGTGTTGTGGGTGGTTCCCGGGTTCTTAATCAATTTTGGGTTTTTAACAGAGTTTCTGTCTCTCTCTCTCTCTCTCTCTCTATATATATATATATATATGAGAAAATGAAGATGTGAATGCTTACACGCTTGTGATCACAGTCTCGAGGTATCGTTAAGCTAATCTTGTGTTGATGATTCTTGAAACGAAGATCATTATTTATAGGTGGGTAAGGCCATGTATGTCTGGTGAAAAGTGTTCCCACCAGAAAACTGGCCATGCATAGCATCAAAATAATCTTTCCTGGAACCAACTTCCCCCTCATTTTCAGCATTTATTCCTTAACTATCTACCCTTGTACTGTTCTTCATGTTCCATGCATATAGGCAAAAAGATGAACAAATTATGAGGTGTTCTTGTTGCAGCACTAGTAGTAGGAAGGAAAAACAAATCCCTATTGTACCAAATCCACGACCATCATGGAAAGGTAAATTACTGCGAGTCAGCAGTAAGTCTCCACCATGACCATCCTACTGCTCAGCAGGAAGTTATGATGTAACAGAACAAAACGGACGCGTTGCAAGACAAGAGACTATTTGCTAAATTCGGGCACGGTTGGAGCACTAGCCCAGGGTGATCCCATCCTCAAAGTTCACAAACAGGGGTGTAAACCAGCTGTGAGTCGAGTAGTAGGCTATTCAAGTCGAGCTCGAGAAACAATACTAGGCTCGAGCTCGAATAACATTTTCAATGAAGGGCTCGAGCTCGAGCTTGAATATTTTTTTAAATAGAAAATTATACAACTTTGTTATGTCATCTGGGAAAAAAAATTCGTTGTATTAAATAGGAACTAAATCAAAATTTATTACATTTTGATACATTTTACCCTTGTTTAGGACATCACCCTCACTGGTTTTTCTGCCTCCGCCTCTGAATTCGTGTTTAAATACATCACGGAAAAAAAACAAAGATGACAATGAAGTTACCTTTGTCGGTTTGTGCGTTCAGAAGAGCACGATGGATCATTGTCAAGTTGACCAATCCAGAATCCGGCAAACTAGTTGGCTCACGGTCGGATGCCGCTATGTTTCCCGGTCTAAGATGACAATGGCTATGGTTTGCAGCCACATCGTAGGTTTCATGTAATAATACAAGTAGGTAGAAATAGAGATATAAGAGTTAGTTATATGTGGGCAGCAAGGGGTGTGTGGGTGTTGAATCATGCTGGATTCATGGTTCAACCAACCAATGAACCTGCAGCCTGCATTCAGATTCAAACTAGACACTGGTTATCATGATGCAACCACTTTGTGTTTTTGATCATATTACCAACCATAACACATTAACACTGGTAACGAATAACTGTATGTTCATCAGACCTAATAATAATAATATAATATAATATACAGTGGTAATGCTGTGAGACAGGTAGGTGAATTGAAGGGGTTGTAACTTATGCATTTTGTATTGTATAGTGATTTGGTTGAAAAGCTATCTAAGGGCCGTTTACTTAAATGCTTACCCGGTAAGTGCTTACCGATAGGATTCAACATTATAATTTATTTTGATACGTAAGATTTTAGTACATCAAAACATATCGAGTGCAACAAGTTTCTGGGTAAGTGCTTACCTGGGTAAGAGTCGCGATCCTTACTTACCGGGTAAGACTCTCTATCATTTTCATTGCTCTTACCTGGTAAGATTTTTGGCCCTTCTCATGTTCTTTCGATAAGGAAATTTATCCGATAAACACTTACCAAGTAAGTGTTTAGTAAACGGCCCCTAAGTTCCTTTTACCAAACAACTACAATAAAATTGACTTTATAGAATGTCTAAAATGTCTAATAGAATATTTTATAGAACATGAGTTTATATGATCAAACTATAAAGCAACATGTTTAAAAGCGTTACAATATCTTTATACGACGATTTTTGGGCATTTTGAAAAGTTTTTTAAGACGTTTTTAGAAAAATGTCCTACTAGTTATTTTATAAAAGTGTCCTATTATCGATTTTACAGGATACTTTTTTAAATAGTGTCGTATAAAATGCTAATACAACACTTTATTTAGAGAGCGCTCTGAATAACTTGTCAAACGCCTAAAAACTTATTATAACACTTTTAGATATGACGTTTTTTGGTTTCTGGCTACAAACTTAAGTTTTATAAATTATTTTATTAGGACACTTAGACATTTTAAGCATTCTATAAAACCAATTTTGTTGTAGTGGACGCTTACCAAATAAGCGTTTACCGGGTAGCTTACGTTACAGATGAACATGACAAGTATTGAGAATCTTACCCGGTAAGAGTGCGTGCAATGATTGAGAGCTTTACCTGGTAAATAAGGGTGATGATTCTTACTCGAAAAGTCGCTTACCGGGTAAATTGTCGTTTTGATAAACTAGAATCTTTCCCGATAAGGTAAGTGAGAGTGTTTAATTACCGGTAAAAATCAACACTATCACTTGCCTTACAGGGTAAGATTGTAATCCATTAAATTGGCAATGCAACAATTTATCCGGTAAGCGCTAACCGGGTAAGAGTGGTCATTCTCACTTACAGGATAAGATTTTTAGCCCTTGTTATTGCTCTTTCTGGGTAAGATTCTCGATCTTTGTCATGTTCATCAGGTAAGATAGAAGGACCCATTAAGTGCTTATCGGATAAGCATTTAGTAAACGGGCTCTTAGTGTCGACTGATAGAATTACCGTTATAACCATTTATATTATAAAGTGTTGAATACAATGTGATTATATATGAATAAGGGTTGAAAGATGATAAAATACAGTTTTCATACATTGGAAATAATTGATTTATAATCCGATCATGCAAATTAATCATATATTGATTGTCTTGAGAATCTCGTTGTAGAGTGAATTGGAATTATTTTGACAAAAATTCCTCGACCTTGTTTGGTTTGTGGATTGAATTGCAACATCCATAATTTTAGACACCGATCGAGGAACAGCCGAAAACGACCGAGGAATGGGAAAAAACGGTCAAGGAACAGCCTGAAATGGCTGGGCAGCCGGTCGGGCGACCTGGAAAGGGGCTAGGCGACTTTTGGTGCGACCTAAGTCACCCAAAAAGTGGCCTCACGCACCCATATCGGTTTTTAGCCGATTTTTAGGATTTTCTTCTGCATTTCTATTCTTCTCCATTTCTCTTCACCATGAGCAATTTAGGCAACCTTAGGGCTGATTTTTATGAGCATTTTGGAGCAAATGGAAGGAAAGGCTTGGAGATTGAAGAATCTTGTTTATTGATCTAAAGATTTAGAAGAGGTAAGCATTTTAAGTATTTTGAGATCTAAGTTTGGGGTTTTTGGTGGAATTGAAATATTAGGATGATGTTTGGTATCTTCTGGCTTGGTTTATGGTTTTGAGAAGATTTCATGGGGATGTTTTCTTGTGGATCTCAAGTGTTCATCATTTTGGAAGCTAAAGATTTGGGTTTAAAATCTAGGTTTAGCCTAACCTAGCAATGTGAGTTTAAGTTACTTTGTGAAAACTATATACATGCCAAAATGAGTATTTTGATGTATAAAAGTGTTTTACTTGGTGTTTATCATATGATTTGAGTATTTGACAAAGTTTGCATACTTGGTATATCTGGTTTTATAATCTAAAATATTTATATTTGGGTTTTTGGACATTTTGATAAAAAAAATCATAAATGTGGGTTCTTTTGATGGTTATCCTTTAAAATGATGATTATTTGGTGATGAATGCATTTTTGTGTATTTGGTTGGAAAATGCATATTGTTGTGTTATGGGATGTTTTGGAAATATAATCAGTATTATTTTAATTGGAAAAATGATTTGTATCAATCAATGACGTGTTTTTGAGTTAATCATGTCTTTAGAACATTTGTTTGTGTTGATCCCGTTAGGGTCTACAAGATGTGTACAACAGTTTGTAGAAGGGGGGGGATGAATACAAACACAGAACTTTTCAAATTTAAAATGTATATTGATAAAGAATGATCAATACAGATTTTACAAGATTGTTTGCGGAAAGATAAGGTAAGAAAAACCTATCTAAACAATCTAAAGATTACACACTAAATCTTAGCAAATAAAGAAAAGATTTGCTGTTAAAGAAATAGAAGAAAGTAAGTTCTATCTGGGAGAGAACTTGTTTAGAATACAACAAAAGAGATTCTAACTTGCTCTTTGAAGATGAGTGTATTTGTTCTTAGATGTGTGTTCTTTTACTTAAGCATAAGATAGTTCAGAGTAAGGGTTGAGAGTATATGTATCGCTGCATGAAGATAGAACACATCTATTTATACCTCATTGCATTAAATGCACATTTAATGCAACGTAGTAGGGTTAGAAGGCGTGCCAAGCCTTAAGGGGAAAGTTTGTCCTTTGCTACAGTGAATAGTACAAAAGGCTATTCATGAGCAGACATCCTTTCACAAAGTTGGTGGGTAATAGAGTCAACTAGTTGGCTCTGTATCGTACTAACTCTTAGAAACGGTATGACTTTGTCCTTTGTGTGTGCAAGGACAAGACAAAATCAATCGTGCTCAACAAGCTTATTTTGATCGCTGAATGCTGGAATAACCTAGAGGTCTTTTCAGCATTCGCCGAGGCTTGGACAGTTTTCACACATATGTAGACAAGGTTGTAATCACTGAATACCGCTTCAGATCATGTACTCGCCAGTCTCTAATCTTTAGTTTCAGTCTTCGACTTTCACTGAAGGTTCTTTGGTGTGAGTTTTGTCTTCTTGAAGTATTACTGTTGTTGATTGGATTTACAATACAAGTTCTTCAGCGATCACTGAACAAGCTCAGTGATGATCGCTGGAACTGAAAAACAGAAACCTAAATACTTCGCATAGGGTATAAGGGATTATCATCAAATCAAATGAGAGAGAGGATCAACAATCTCCCCCTATTTGATGATAACAAGACAACATAAAGAAAGTTGTCTAAAATAATAGTAAGGAAAAAGTAACATATAAAGTACATGTCCTTTTTTAACTATTTTGGGATCTTTTTCAGTGAGTCAGTCATTATTTGGAGAATTTTATTAAGTTACATTTAAGAAAAGTTACAAGAATAGAAACTGAAACTGAAAGCTTATTCACTGACTTATAGATTGTCAGTGAATGTGAAAAGTAACACTGTAACTCATAGACTTGTGTCCTTATTACTTTTTTCAGGGATCTTTTTCAATGAAGTACAAGAAACACTTATATTATATTCATTGGAAATCTTACAAGATGTTCAATACATGTCTAAAACTTACAGACTATAAGATTAATCACTGAAAGTAGACATAGTAAGTAGATTATAAAAGAAAATGTG